AAATATTTGGGAAGAATTTCTTTTGCAAATCTTTGCTCATCCAAGACTAAAAAACTTTGGCCATTCTGGGAAAAAAAAAACAGAAAAGGTCAATTATTTAAGATCCTCTGAAACATCATGGTGAGAGAGAAAGAGAGATACTCAAAAACTGTCGTGGGTAATTCTTCCATGATACCTTCAGACAAACATTCTATTCCTGATAATGGCAAGAAGAAACAAACTGCACCTAAGTGCCAAATTTCAATTAAGCTTTTTGATGTCAACCTCAAAAGTTTAGGAATATATCTCAAACCAAAAGCCACATCATATTCTATAATGAAATATTAGGAGAATTTCCATTAATGCAGAAATGAGAAAAAGAAATACAGTACATAGCCAGCATAATCATTTAACATTGTTTTAAAACTAATGCAGTTAGACAAAAAAAGACAAATATTGAGAGGAAGTAGCATTTATAATTATTTGCGATAGACATAATTATATCCTTGTGCAATCAGTTGAAAAACTCTAAGAATTCAGCAAGATATATGATTATTAAATTAATATTAAAAGCCACTAGTGTTTTTCTACACACAAAAAATAAACAATTGGAAACTTACTACAAAAATACAGTAACCCAAACAGCATGGTACTGGCATAAAGACAGACATACAGATCAATGGAATAAAATAGAAAGCCCAGAAACAAACCTTGCCAAAGGATTTTTGACAAGAGTGTCAAGACCATTCAACGGGGAAACGACAATCTTTTCAACAAATGGTGCTGGGAAAGCTAAATATTCACATGCAAAAGATAAGTTGGACCGTTACCTGACACCAGACACAAAAGTTAACTCAAAATGGATCAAAGACCTAAACATAAGAGCTAAAACTATAAAAATGTTAGAGGAACAGCTTCATGACCTTGGATCTGACAATGATTTCATGGATGTAACACCAAAAGTAAAGACAACAGAAGCAAAAATAGACAAACAGCACTACATAAATCTAAGAACTTTTGTGCAAAGAACACTATCAACAGAGTGAAAAGGAAACCCTCAGAATGGGAGAAAAGATATGTGAATCATGTATCTGATAAGGGATTAATATTCAGAATATATATAAAACTCCTATAATTCAAAAACAACCAATCTGATAAAAAATTAGGCAAGGATTTGAGTAGACATTTCTCCAAAGAAGATATACAAATACCAATAAGCACATGAAGACATGGTCAGTATCACTATTCATTAGCAAAATGAAAATGAAAACCACAATGAGATACCACTTCACATCCATTAGTTTGTTTATCATCAAAAATCCATATAATAGTGTTGCAAGAATGTGGAGAAATTGGAACCTCTGTTCATTACTGGTGAGAATATAAAATGACATGGCTGCTGTGGAAAACAATATAGTGGTTCTTCAAAAAATTAAACATAGAATTACCATATAATACAGCAATTCTACTTCTGGATATGTACTCAAAAAAACTGAAAGCAGGGATTTGACCAGATATTTCTACCCATGTTCACAGTAGCATTATATTCACAATAGTCAAAAGGTGGAAGCAACCCAAGTGTCCATCAACACATGGTAATATATATGGATAAGCAAAATGTGGTATATACATACAATGCAATATTATTCTACCTTAAGAAAAAAAAGAAAATTCTGCCACAAGCTACAACATGGATGAACCTTAAAGATATTACGCTAAGTGAAATAAGCCAGTCACAAAAGGACAAATACTGTATAATTTATATGAGGTATCTAGAATAGCCAACTTCATAGAGATAGAAAGTAGAATGGTGGTTGTTGGGGGTTAGAGGAGGGGTGTTGGCCGTTATTGTCTTATGGGTATAAAGTTTCAGTTTGGAAAGATGAAAAACATTCTGGCATGGATAGTGGTAATGGCTACATAAAAACTATTAAGTAAATGCACTTAATGCTGTTGAACAGTACATTTAAAAATGGCTAAAATGATTAATGTTATGTTATGTATATTTTACCACAATTTAGAAAAACGATTTGAAACTAAAATGGAATAAAAGATCCCAAGAATAACAGAAAAATATTAAGTATCTAAATAATAGGAAAACATTAAGTATCTAAAAATAAACTTTTAAAAATATACAGGATCTTTAAGAAAATATTAAAGCTACAGAGGTATATAAGGAAGACAAATGCACTATTGTAAAGCTGTCAATTCTCCCCAAATTAACCAATACATTAAATTCTCTCAACTAAAAAAAAAATTTTGGAATAGAAATGGAGATGCTATCACAACCAAATATTCAGTACTTAGGTTCATTTGTAAACATACTTACACAACAGGCAAGAAAATATTGAAAACAGTGGTGAAGACTGTGTTTACCCTGCTCTATACAGATGATAAAATTCTTTCTTTCTTCCTTTTTTTGAGACAGGGTCTCACTCTACAGTCCCGGGTAAAGTGCGGTGGCACAATCATAACTCACTGCAGCCTTGAACTCCTGGGCTCAAGAACTCCCTGTCTCAGCCTCCTGAAAAAGTGAACTGCAGGCATGTACCACCACACCTGGCTAATTTTTTTTATTTTTTGTAGAGATGGGGTCTTGCTATGTTGCCCAGGCTGGTCTCGAACTCCTGGCTTCAAGAGATCTTCCCACCTCAGCCTCCCAAAGTGCTGCAATCACAGGCATGAACCACTGCGCCTGGCCCAGATAAAATTATAGTATTTACAAGAGTTTGGTACTGAAGAAGGAATAATTAAAGAGATGAATGGACAAACCAATGAGGACAGAAGCAGCAGCAAATCTATTTGAGAATTTAGCAGGTAATAAGTAAGGACAGCATTCAAATCAGGGCGGGGGGGATCAGAATGGAGAAAGATTATTTAAAAAACTTTCCATTTGGGAGGAAAAAAACAAAAGCTCAAGGCTACCTCACTCTTTACAACCAAGCTTTTGAAAACATGACATACTAAACCTGGAAGACATACAGATAAAAATAAATTTATCCATGGAAACTGCTAGCTTCCTACCCTATCCCCACTCTCCTCTACTTTCTCACTAATGGAAACACAATCTTGTGTAATGAAAAACTCAACGTAAAATTTAGAAAAGGCCTGGTCTTATTCATAATTGAAGAAATATACGGCAAAACAAATAATAATTTTCCTCTATTAGACTGGCAAAACTTAAAACGTCTGATAACAGACAGTACTTTCAAAATTAAAAATGCATGCATTTTTTTCTATCTTAACTTTTCCTCTTACACTTTATTTCCCTCTCAATCTACCATTTGTCTTTTCCTTAAATGCAAAATTTAACAATTTTTAAATCCCCCTTCTCCAATTCATTCACTTAACTCTGACTAAAAACTGGTTTTGGTTTCCCTCACTACTGAAATCGGCTTTCTAAAACATCAAATGCCAAAATCAATACCCTCTTTTTAGTCTTTATCTTCCTACACCTCTCTGTGGCATTTCATTTGGTACTACTAACAATCCCCTCCTTCAATATTCTACTCTGTGTGCTTTGACACCATAGGCTATTGGGTCTCTTACCTCTCATACTTATTTTCTATTTTCTTCCACCTATCAAATAAGAGGTAGGTGTGTTCCTTAGGTTTCTATCCTTGATCATGGTGCCATTTACATTCTTTCCTTAGACAATCTCATCCACACCAGCGTATCTACACTTCTGCCCCCAACCATCTCAAATTTCACTTGAATTTACAACTGTTAACATTTTTACACAATGTTCTTTGACTTAGTACGTTCTCGACCCATTTCTCTATTTCAAAGCCATTACCCACTCCACCAAAGTCAACCTTTTCTTGTATCCTCTATTCTGGCAAGCCCCTTCCCCACTGAGTTTGATGTCGACAAAGAGATAAGTTAAAAACTCTCAATTCTAACAGCCAGTAACTTAAGGGGGAAACATTAAAAACTTTCCCTTTAAAATTAAGGGAAGAATCCCATGATCACATGGCAAGAATCCCATGATCACTGCTACTATTCACCATCCTGAGGTCTTAGTCACTGCAAAGAAAGAAAAATTGAATGCATAGGTTCTGAAAGGAAGAACAAAACTGTCGTTCACAGATACTATGGGTGTATGTACACTCAGAGAACTCGAATCAGTAAAGTGACCTGCTCACTTGTTTATTATCAATATACAAAAATTACTTGTATTTCTAATTATCAGCAACAGCTAGAAATGTATTATTAAATAAAGGACACCACTTACAACTTCTATAAGATAACTTGGGAGCAATCTAACAAAGATGTGCAAAATCTAATAACAAAAAAATTATAAAATTTTATTAAACAAAATGAATTTAGAAATATGTCTTGTTCATGTGAATATTCAATATCATAGATATCTATTTTCCCTAATTTGATTTATAGTTTCAATACAATTCCAATAAGAATCCAACAAGCTTTTTTTTTTAAATGGAACTTTATTTTAGACCAACAATACTCAAGACACTCCTGACGAATGGGTTACCCTACCAAAAGACTTTTTCTAAAGCTACAGTAATTAAGAGAGTACAATATAGGCACAGGATAAATTGTCCAACTAAACGGAATAGAGAATCCAGAAGCAAAACCATAATATCTATTACGGGCTGAATGTCTGTGTTTCCCCAAAATTCACATGTTGAAGCCCTCATCCCCAATATGACAGTATTTGGAGGCAGGGCCTTTAGGAGGTAATTAGGTTTAGAAGAGGTCATTAAGGTGGGGCCCCCATGATAAGTTCAACTGTCCTTATAATAAGAGAAAGAGAGATCAGAACCCCCTGTCTCTCTGCCACACAAGGATACAGGGAGAAGGTAGCTCTGCAAACCAGGGAGAGCCCTAACCAAGGAAACAAACTGGCCAGTACCTTCATTTTGAATTTCTCAATCTCCAGAACTGTAAGAAATAAATTCCTGTTGTTTGTATTTTGTTATGACAGCACAACTGACTAAGACAATATCTATGTGTAATTGTAACATAAGAAGTGGCAATATAGATCATTGGGAAAAGGAG